CGAACCTATAAAGCAGAGCTTAATAAAGATGTGTACATTGTTGCTGCTTAGAATTATAACTTAGATTGATTTTTAGTTATTCTTGGATGTAGTTGTATACAGAGGTGGTTTATTCCATATTTGCCTGAAGCTTGCCCTTATTGGTTGATTACATCATATTAAAGGTACTTGACTAACTGAATTTAACTGAATTGAATCTAACTGAATTTTCTTTACATGACTGAGTGGGTCAATCTTGTCTGAAAAAAGGCAGGGCTCACTGGGTAGAGAAGACTTGCATTAGAACCAGACAATTAGGTAATTATCAAACAACTCCTAATTTTCCTTTTTCTACATAAGATGATTGAGCAGATGGTAACCTTTTTGCTCTAGTGTTTTAGTTTTTGTTTAATTGAGGATGCTGGTTTTCTAAATTAATTCCAGACCATCTTTAGACCAAAACTTCCCTGATGGGCATTCTGTAACTAGCAATAGAAAAGTACTTAAGCCTGGGCAGATCTGTGCCACAAACTGTGAAGGAGCAGGATAGACTGGAATTGCCAGAGATCACTTTGTAGTAAGCATAATTAACCCTTCTGTTCCTCTGGCAAAGTTTGATGTAACCAGAGGCCAATCTACACGAGGTTTTTCTTGGTGCTGTGACATTTGGCTGCCTCGTATGACACCTGGCACATTCCCTAAGCCATTTTCTGGCACTATTTTCCCATCAGTATTCTATTTCCACACCTCCACCTTCTGAGTTCAATAAATTTCATTAATGTTGCTGTCTGAAATTTCTGTCCATATCCGAATTGTATAAACTCGAGTATGGAGATCCCATAAACATTTACTGGTGGAGGTATCTTCAAAGCTATAGAACCAGTCTGGCAACATTTCCACCCATCGTTCACCTTTGACCTGAGGCAAGATTGTTCTGCCTTGCGTTTGTTTTATAACTGGATAGCTGGTTAGCCATGCTTAAAGGAAGAGTTGGATTTTCAGTGTGCCTTTATACAGCTGACACAGCCATTTTTTTTTCTTTTTAAACCCCTACTGCCCCAGAATTGCACAAGTAGACTCATTTTTTAAAAACAAGCCAACAAAGAAGAATATGTAATATCTTACTGGACTTCTCACATTGCAACACTGGAGCAAAATATTTGTGGCATGTACAGCATGCTAAACCAGATGTGATCTTTCAAACTCATCCTGGTTCTCTTGCAATTAAACCACTACAGTATGTGCTGGTGTGTGACATTTGATTATATTACAGTCGCAGCAGATACTGTGCTGTATTCATTAGCATGTGACCTCTAGAGAGGCTGTTGCATATGAAAAAACCCAAGTGGGCTCCAGCATTGACTATCCTCAGAATTTCAGCATTGCATAGCAATTTAACACTCTTTAATAGGTTTGCTGGATTGCAGTCCAGAAATCCCCCATAGCTTTCAGTTTGCTAAAGCCCATCTCCCTTCCCCCCTTTTTTACTTCACAACTTGCTTAGAGTTCTGCTAATTACTGCAGGTGAATTATAAACCAGAATGAGAAAATTAAATGGAAGAAAGCCATGGTAAATTAAAAATCCAAATGAAGTCTTCAGGTTGCAAAATGACTGTCAAATAACAGATGATTTTAAACTAGTAAGTTCACTTGCTTGTATCTAAAATGGCACAAGTGTTATCGTGGCTTATCCAATAATAAATATAAGTTGGTTGCCCAGTGAAGACTAACGTGGCAACTTCTTTTGAAATTCAGGACTCCAGTAGAAGATCAAATTCCAGGTTCTTGTTTGTTTTAGGCATTAAAACACATGTACACATGTATTTTGAATCAGTTGAAGTGGATAGAACTGGCACCTTTGTAAGGTCACCTTTCTCAGTAGAGCTGTCCCTCTATGCCTTTTGTGGACTCACAACACCTGTTGTGTAGAAATCTGGAGGCAGAAGTGTTGCATTCCTGACCTCAAAAAGGTAGAGAGGTATTATAAGTAGCCTAAGCAGCAGTAGCAACTTTATGCTTTTATTAGGGCTTACTAAGTGCCAAGTTAGCTTCTATGAAACTTCAGATCCAAACTTCCAGGTCACAAGCTGGTCTTAATGAAGACATAGTAGCAGTAATATATCCTTAGCATGTTGATTATGCTGCTTTTTTTAATGGATTAATTTTAATAAGTTTCTTTGGGCCAATAATGACCCAGTTGAGATGGATTTTCATGTTAGCTGTTTTTATTTGGCATATCACAAATATGCACTAGATTTGGTTCATCTGCAGAAAATGGACAAATTAGTTACCACTCCAGCTTATTTCTATGCACTGTTTCCAAACTGCAGTTGGAAAACTCACCAACTGCAGAAGCTGATAAATACTTGAGTTCTAATTGGTATTTTAGTCTGTCAAGTGTTGATTAAGTCAGTTCATCTTGAAATTCACAAAAATAGCTTCTCTGTACAACCCCCAAATCCTCATTTTTCATTCCAGAAATGATTTTCAGTTTTTTGCTACCTTACTGAAAAAAGCAGCTTGCAAAAAGTCTGCTTTTATATAGTAGCCTATCACAAGCAGGGACTGTGACCACAGTAGACATTGCAGTCTCTTAATTGTTTTAGGCATATATTTTGGTGACTCTCTTGATAACTAAATGAAAAGCAACTCTGGAGAATGAGCCCTCTGAATATTAATTAATTGATTGATTTGTGTGTGTGTGTGTATCTTGATTCTCCCAGGATTCCCTCTCATTCTCAGATATGCACCATCAGACAGCACGGGAGGTAGCTGTATGGCAGTACCCTATATTTGCTAATGTAATAGGATATCTAATTATTCCACAGAATGCGTAGAGATTTTCTAGCTCCTGTTTTTCCAGTCTTTTTGCCCCCCTTCCAGTTAAATTATATGCTGCAGCTAATAAAAGCAGAATGAAAAGTTGATCCTTTGTTAAAAATAATGTTGCTAAACTGGCATTCATGGGGCAGGGGAGGAACCACATAAAGGTTCCTTGAAAATGAAGTGTTTTGAACCATCATGTTTTTGGATTTAGTTCCTACTTAAAAAAAAAAAAAAAAGAATATCTACACTGTAAATCATATCCTACTCAACACTGGTTCATATTGTCAAGTTTCCTGAGTAACATTTTTGAGTATATTTATACCTTGGATTTCTCCTATCAGGGAGCACAGGATGGCTTTTCCTGAGTTTTTAGACAATCTTCTCTTGAAGCACGGTACAGGTACAGACCCAGGTTTGCTGGTTGCATAATTAATGTAATTGTAAGACATCCTTAGAGACATCCTCAGGGTTGAAGGCTTTCCTCCCACATGACGAAAGCAGCATCACCCTGTTGTAATGCAAGCTCCGCCCCTTTGGGAATTGCACGCAGTGCGGCTTTCTTCATTTGCCCCCTCACCACCCCCCTTCCCCTGGACAACTCTAAGATGGCCAATGAACTTCAAAACTTTGGTCTTATCAGTGATTTTTTAAAATGTCAGTCGTTTTCAGAAGCCGTTTGGGTGTCTTCTTTTATCCAATAATGTTGAATTTAGTAAAACTAATTCTATTTTTAAAAAAAAACTAATAAGAAAAAGTAGTGGTTTCCAAAGAGAATCTGTGGTCTGAACTCTAAAGTTTGATTCTCTACCAGTGCTTGGGAGTACTGAATTCAAGGAGATACTTAACACTTTCAGTGGAGTTTGTTTCCAGAAACTCTGTATCTAGAAGTAAATAAGATGTATTTGGGATACTATGGTTAGAATACTATAGGATCCTGTTATAAAAGTATAGGAGAAGTTGCCTTCTAATTAGTAGAAAGACTACTGTTGTTTTTGGGGTGTTGTTTATTTTCACAATGTTTCCAAATATGCATTTCGTCAGCACCCAACCAAAGGAAAGAAAACATTTTCATTTCTTAATCTCAGCTGTTTCTTTAAGGACATCAACATTGGTCACTGTTAGGAAACAGTATCCTCAGCTAAAATAAATGTCTATTACACAAGACAGTTGGATCCTGTGTGCTTGACAGAAACTCTAGTTTCAGCATCTTGCATTCCTTTGTGACAGGTAAAATTAGAAATGCCTGGTTTCAAATCAGACTTAAATCAGCCATGTTAAGGAAATCACATACTGTAAGCATTTAATATAAAATATAATATAAATTTGTGACCATGCAGGCATCGATAATAACACTAATTAATATCATTATAAATATTAACAATATATTGAAATATATTAATAATATTAAATATATAAGGGGGGTTGTTTTGAAACTATGGTCTTGGGTGGAGAATTTTGGATACTTGGAGGGTTTGATTTTATTTCTCAAAAAGTCTTATTAATAGTAGTAGATCAAACACTGAGGATTACTCCTTTTTTTAGATTTCACATGCACACAAAAGAGTATTGCATTTATGAGGGTAGCCTTCAATGTTTTTTTTTTTTTTTTACCCAAGTTGTGCCTTTAGGTATAAGATATTTTTTATTTTATCCTTGGGGTGTCCGCAGCAATGATCACTGGCTTCAAAGCAATGAGTGTGACCCGTGTTCAAACCCCTGCCTCTTTTCATGTGTGTGCAGTGCATGTGTCACATGTTTAAAAGGGGTGGGGCCTTGTTCACCTGGTCATGTGCCCCATTTTGAAGCCAGCGACCATTTCTGCAGACACCCTGATTATTCTGACAGCATACGCAAGAAATTCATATATATCTAAAGTCATTCTCTGTCATCACACTGAATTAGATCTGATAGGAAAATAGGGGGGACTAATACTAGCATTAGTCACAGCCACGGTTGAAGATGCCTCCTTGGATTTCTCAGAATTCCCATCCAGCATGCCAGTTGGGAATTTTGGAAATAAGGTACCAGGCTGGGAAAGGATGGACTAGAAATCTCTGCAGGTATTTCTGTGTTCAGTAACATTTACAGTTTTATCATCTGCTGTAGCTGGAAAATAGAACCTACCCACAAAAGAGTTGCTGATCTGCTGAAATTGAACAGATTGTTCTCCATTTCTGTCTCCTTTATATTTATAGCTTGTCCCAGGGGCACCTTCAAAGCATCGGCGGGAGATGCGCCCTGCAGTCCTTGCCCTACCCACAGCTATGCTTCCATCCCGGGCTCCCGTGAATGTGCCTGCCAGACTCACTATTACCGTGCTTCTTCAGACATCTCAGATGCCCCCTGTACTAGTAAGTATCTGAGAATGAGGAGGATTGGCTTAGTTTTGTCCCTGTCTCCTTTTATACCTTGGCTTCTTCTTCTGTCCCAGTCTGTTTGCTTCTTTTCCTCCAGCTTCTTCCATTCTTCCTTCCCTGTGTTTTGGTTTCTTCCTCAAGCCCCTCGTTCTCTTCTTCTCTCAGGGCCTCTAGTCCAGTTCTGTTACATTTCATCCTTAGAGAGGTGTGTTTCCAAAACTGTCCTCTTGGAACTTCCTCATGCACAGGACCATGGAAAGAACAGGAATCCCCAGTCTTCCTAGGCTAGTTGCCTATTTAAAGCTATGAGGAACAGATGATTGATGGGTGGGGAAGGAGGAGGTTACTCATTCACAAAGTGGCTGTTTAAATATGACCTCAAGACATGTTTGAAAATGAAGGTGATGGTGGAAAGTGGTGTGTGGTACTGCAGATTCCATTGGTTCGTGACCTCAAAAACAGCAAAGTATCTTGTGGCTTCTTAAAGACTAATGTAACTTTTTATAATACTGGGCTTCCATTGGTAGCATCCAAAGTGATCAATATAACCACAGAGACTTCGGTCCCCATCTTGATTCTTCTCTTCTGGCGTTCTTGATCACATCTGCTTTCTCCTTTGTTACCTACCAACCCACCTCACGTTCACCATCAGTGCTATTTGCTTTCTGGACATATCTTTAAAAGTTAAATAGAATGTCCATCAATCGGGGAATTGTCTATTTTTTTAAAGGAGCAATAGGATGGAAATCAATTAATTTTTAAGGTGTATCCCCATGGCAAGCATTATGTGCCCAGCCATGATTCAGTGACATTCATTGTTTCGGTGATGCTCATATTAAATTTGTTTGTGTTTAAGGTGCCACAAGATTCTTTGCTGAAACTCAAGTTGTACTTAAAAAAATCTTGAAAAGCCCAGCGAAGCAGAAATATAGTGAATGCTGAAATTAAGTTCACATTCATGAATACCTAAATAATAATAAATTGCCTGGCTGGGTTGGGCAGTGACAGCTGGTCTAAATTGAAATCCTTCCCCATTTTTACCATTCCGTTAGCAAAATGTGGTGGGGATTTTAAGAGGTAAGGGGGGAAATGGAAGTGGGGTTCCCTATTGGTGGTAGTAGCAGCAATTCTTGAAATCTGGAAATAATTTCTTATGGCTGTAGGCTGCTTTGGGGTACCACACTGTGTAGTTTTCATCCTTGAAGTTTGGGTTAAAATTGTTCCTTGAGAAAGGTTTCTCTCTAGTTACGTTTTGCTTGGTTTGCTCCAGAGATAATGAAATACAGTAATGACACCGCCTACCTTTGCTCCCCTGTGTTTGACTTTTTTCTATTACAGTTTTTCAGGATTTTGTTTTCCACTATTTTGTAGGCATCCCATCAGCCCCTCGGGACCTCAGCTATGAAATTATTGGATCTAATGTCCTTCTGACCTGGCGTCTCCCAAAGGATCTGGGTGGTCGAAAGGATGTTTTCTTCAATGTCATCTGTAAAGTGTGCCCAACTGGCTCTCCAGGACCTTGTGTCCGTTGTGGGGACAGTGTTCAGTTTGAGCCCCGGCAGGTGGGGCTAACCGAGAGCCGGGTGCAAGTGTCCAACCTCCTGGCCCGTGTTCAGTACACCTTTGAGATCCAGGCAGTCAATCTCGTGACTGAGCTGAGCCCAGATTCTCCACATTATGCTGCCATCAATGTCAGCACCAGCCAGTCAGGTGAGGAGCATTTTTTGTTGACCACCATCGCTTCTTTTAACCCCTCTTGTTCCTCTATTTTCAATTGCGACTCTTATCCTTCTTCTTGCTGTCATTCAGAGGTGGATGACCATGAAATGAAACCAAAGGAAACAGTGGGTTTCCACTAATAGTGGCAGTGTGGGAGGCAAACTTTAGGTAGAACCTCAGCCTGATACCATTTATGACCAAACATCAACCTTTCAGATGTGAGGGCAATTTATGTGAAACAGAGCTGGGTGAAATTGGTGAGTGGGTAGAAAATGCTCATGTTTCTGTCCTCCTAGTCTCCTGAAAAACTTACCCTGGATCTTCATCTTGTGGCTGTATGAAGTCACAGAAAGTGCAAGCAGCAGAAGCAAATGTCCATTTCCTTATTTTCCATATAGCCTCCACCTCTCCCTATTTGCCCACTATGTTGTGGAAGGTGTGCACAGATGTATTTCAGGGTGCATTCTTGTGATGTTGAGCCTAATGTTGGGACACTCTTGTCACCTAGCACTGGAGGAAAGGGAGCATTAGGGTGGGGCACTGTACCCCAAAATACTTTTTTTTAATGGTCCAACTCCAGCAAGATCACCAAATATTTATTACCTTGCAAGATTTTGAAAGGATATGAAAAAATAAATCTTGCACGATTTTGAAATCCTATGAGATTTCAGCTCTACATTTAGGTTTCATGGGACCATCTAGAAGTGTCAGTGGTGTCTACAGACCCCCATTGCCAATACATCTGAGCACTTTTTACAGCTTGCAGCACCGTGCACAGGTTGTAATACTTCATGGGTAGGTAAGTCATGTCATCAAATTTTTCAGTACAATTCAGCAATACGTTTTATTAACTTCTCATATTTAAAGGGAGTTGCTACAACCTTGGAAGATAAAGCTATCATGCATTGCCAAGGCAAGGCACATATTCTCATGGCCCTTGATACAACTTTTTATTTTGTTTGTATCCACTCCCCAAAAACTTGGCAGAAGAGAAAGGGCTTGCCTTTGCAGTTCAGAAAAAGATCTTTGAAGTGAAATCTTTGGCTCAGTATATTGTATGAAATACTTGGAACGTTCTAAAACCTATGTAAATATTGAATATTATTAAAGTCATGCTATTTGGATTTACCATCTGAGGCATCAGTGTCTCTTAGACCAGCCAATCCTATTAGATTCTCAGGATAATGTCCTTTCTCTTATTATTACTGCAGGTACTAAGATGCTAACTGCTATTCCTACTTGGAAATTTTACAGTATTTTTACACACTCAGTATGCTTTATATAGTTGTTCAACGATCCATATTATAGATGGGAAGATTGAGGTTGGGAGACAGTGGATTGCTTAAGGCCACTGAATGAATTTATAGCTAAAGTGAGATCAGAACTACAGAATTTGGTTTCATAGCTTAATCTGTTGAAAATCAGAGTCACTGTTCTCCTCTCTCTCCCTCTCCTCCCATTCTAGCACAGTCAGATGATTGTATGTCTGGGGTTTTTTTTTTCCCCCTTAGTTGCTTGACAGAGTAGCCAACCATATCGGGTAGAGGAGCAGTTGCTATGAGAAATGGAACCTTTTGTCTGATTTTGGCAGGGGGCTGGGGGTGTCTGATGTAAGAATAAATAGCAATTTTGTCCTTTGGCTTTATCTAGGCAGTAGTTTTCTCCTAACTCTTGTAACAGGGTAGTAGAATGAATTGGGAAGTTGGGGATTCATGATTATGAATGCCATAAATACCTGTGAACTTCTTGTGTGTGTCCTTATTTTGTGGATAAAGGCCACAAACAGCATAGCTATAACAATGTGTGATATTTGGAGTCATGTATGTCTGTATTTATTTGTTTATAAATTTATATTCCATTCTTCCAATAAGTACAAGTAACTCAGGACAGCTAACAATAATCAAACCCACCAAAGCAAAATTAAAATAATTTAAGTATAAAGCATAAACAAGTTTGAGAAAAAGGAAACTTTTATAAAACCAGGACAAAACAGAAGATGGCATATTCAGGCGAAACATACATTGCGAGTGATTTGACTGCCTTCCTAAAAAGGAAGTTCTCTTCTTTCCATTAATCAGAAGTTATTCTGGTCCATCTTTTACTGTTTTCTGTACTTTTGAATAGGGAAGAAGATGCACATTTATGCCTTGAACTGCTGGCCCTTTACACTTTTAACCCCATGAACCCCATGATATCCATGAAGATGAATGAAAATTTAGGGAATAATAGTAAATGGGCAGAAAATAGAAAATAAGCAAAACAATCAAATAAAAAGCATCTTTATCTCCAACAGGTTTACAGGCTGAACAATGGTGTAAATTGCTTCTAGCTTCCAACTCTGTATATCAAAAGCACAAATCCCTTCTACATCTTTCCCCACAGTTCAGAAGAGAAAGGCAAGGTCAAAATGTGTGTTGCTACTTCTGTTGGGTGAAATGTTATCTGAAGCCAGATGATGTGGCTACTTTGACACTGAGCTGCTTTGGTCAAGGTGACCTCAGCATGGATATTACACTCCCTGAACCATTAGCCATAGGGTCCCATACATTTACTCAAGGTCATCTATATCACTTCCTTCACTGTAACTAGTGGAATTGAAAGTAAGAGAATCTCAAGCCGTTCTGGAGTCCCCATCCCCAGTTAATGACTTGAAAATCTAGTTGAATGTTGAACAAAGAGATTGAATTCCTATTGGCCAAGGCTTCATTTCCCTTCTTTCCTGTTAGTTGAGCTGGCATTTGTCAACAGCACTTGCAAGCCACCTATGCCTTTTACTGCTGCGATAAGATGATCTGGAAAGGAGATAAGGCTCTCACTTGAAAAGTTCAACATTTGTCCTTGTTGCCCCCCCCCCAAAAAAAAAGCAAAGGGGGAATCTCTGGTGTGGCTCCCTCAGTGGTAACCAAACACCAGCAACAACTTTAGTGGCAAGTTCCACCTCCCAGGAAGCATTTATTCCTCAGTGATTAGGTCCTTATTGTGTTGGGCTTATCCTCAAAATATATGTATGTATGTTTGTATATATGCATATATGTCAGTCCTTTACTGACTGCTGTATATACTGCTATAATCTGTATGGACTCCCAGTGCTTACAGCAGTAAAACAATGGTAAAGCCAAGATCACAATACAATAATAATACATTATAGCCATACAAATGGGTACCAACTCATCATTGCCCAAATGTCCCCAGGAAAAGCTCTGTTTGTGCACTCCATGAGGAAGATTGTACTGTCACAATGTCTGCAAGCCCCTGTCCCCTTAACCTCCCAATAATGGGGGAATGTTAACAGATTTTGTTGGGGAGCACACACATAGGCAAGTCAATTCTATGGTTCTGGAAGAAGACAGTGCTGAAGATGTCTAGAAGACAAACTATGTAGGGCTTCATAGGATTAAACCGTCACTTTGAATTGTACTTGGAAACCTATAAACAAGGAATGCAGTGCCGGTGTTACATGGCTGTGGCAACTCCCACAATGTCCTTAACCAACAAGGAGGACGCTACATTTTACACCAATAGCAGCTTTCAGATGTCTTCAAAGGCAGCACTGAATAAAATGCATTGCATTAGTCCCATAGTGTTGTACTAAATGCATAAGTTACCATTGTCAGAGCTTTCTACTCCAGCTAGTGCTGCAACTGGTGTGAACTTAACTTGGAAAAATCCAAGGCCTCCACCTGCTTATCCTGTAGTAACCATGAGTCCAGGATGACCCCAAGTCATAAACCTGCTCCTTGAGGGAAGTGCCAGCCCATCTAGAGTTATAATTGGAACTGGTAGAGAATTCTTCTGAACAAAAAGTAACCCTGTCTTGCTTGGGTTCAGCTTCAGCCTGTTTTGTCCTATCCAGGCATATCAGCCTCCAAGACTGGCTCCACATTTTCACATTATCTCCAGCCTGGTCTGTGGGGAGATGTAAAGCTGTGTATAAAGACTGGATTGGGGAAACATGGTTTTAAAATTGGAGGAAAAAAAAAAACATATGCTATGTTGGTGACCCTACTCTGATAGTTGAAAATGGAAATGATCTGGAAGCTCTAATAATGAAAGTCAAGGAGCATGTTAAAAATGGGATTAAGATTAAATAGAAAACCAAACTGATGACAACAAGTATAGCAACCAGACTTAGAATTCACAGTGAAGTTATTTAAGTGGTGGATAGCTTTTGCCTTTAAGACAGACTATCAACAGTAAAGGAGCCAGCAATCAAGAATTATATTGCAAGCTAGTGAATAGTAGGGTGATGTTAGCCTTTTGAGGTAGTCCAGACAAGAAGCACAACCAAAAGCATTAACACTATCGTTATTGTAAGATTACATTAAACAGAATCTTGCAGGGCTGGAAGTATTTTTCCCCTCCTCTCTTTTTAGTCTCCAGAAAACTAGGGAGGGTCTCTTCTAAAATGCTTCCCATGCTTTTCCCCCACTTGGAGACTGAGCTGCCTCTTATCAGACCGTTGCCTCAGCTGGGGATCTTCCTCCTGTCTCCCAAAGTCATTCCCACATACCATCACAGATGGTAATGAAGGTCTTGGAAAACTTATTCATACCCCATGATGTGTCAGTGCCTACAAAGATCAGAATTGTACAGGCAATGGACAGCCAAGAAAACAAAGTTAAAAGTTTATTAAAATATATGCTCATATATATTTATATATATATAAATAATATAATATTTATATTATAAGAATATAAATAATATTCATATATATAAAAAACACACATTTTTTAAAAAATATCTCAGATGTTTGTTAAAAGCCTATTCATGTCTGAGCTAAACATATCTGGAAGACTGATCAAGTCCAAAACCTTCTAACTGTCATTGCTAGAGTACAAAATTTGACTATGATTCCAGAGATTTCCCAGTCCTGGTTGTTTAGTAGGTAATTCACAACTGCCTTGTGAGAATGATCTAAATAGTTTGTAATATGAGGGGAGATTAACAAGATGGTAGATGGGGCAATTCAGAAGTACATGTGCTACTGTTTC